ATAAATATATATATTTTAGTTTAAAATTTTTTTATTTTATTAAAATATTCTTTTAATTATAAAAAAAAATATTATTATTAAAATATAAAAAATATTTTATTTAATAAAATATAATCACTTTTTTTATTAATTCTCTAAGTATATACAAAAAAAATGTTCACAAGAAATTACTATACTTCTTAACTAATAAAGTCTTATTACTCTCCTTAAATCAACTTGAAGAATACTTCAAGAGTCACTCATACTATCTCCCTATACTATTAATATTCTTCTTTTAACAAAAACTAAACTTCTATGGTTAAAAGTCTGAAAGATATCTTTCTTATCAATAATAAAAAAGTTTAGAAAGAAAAAAGAATGGATACTCCGTTACTTATCAGATATATAAAGAAATACTACAGACTTATTCCTGTAGTGAAAGTGCTAACTTTCCATTCTTCTCTCTACTGTGTGAACTCTAATAGTACTCTTTCTTGATCTTTTCTGGGGAATTTTATCTAACTCAACTTGACCTTGAATTTTAAGTAATATAAAGTTTCATATAAGCTGATTGGTTCAGTAGAATCTGATTAGTAAAAGAATATAAACAAACTTTCATTGGTCATTTCACATGTCTGAATGCATTTTCTTAGATTAATTAAAATCTAGAGTCTATTATAAATTATACTGCCTGATGCAGGTGAATATAAAACATGTTATCAATACATATTTGGAAATAAGAAAAAGTTCATTCAATTATGGTAAATATCACAAGAGCTCGATTAACCTTTTGAAAATCAGAGCTACCTATTTCTGATTGTATGTCACATAGACCTTAGCTTCTATTGCTTGAAAAAGTCTAAAAAGCAAAGATAATAAGGAATACTTAATAGTAATGCTAATGTATATAGTAAACTAGGAAGTTTTTATTCTATTTTCAAAAAATCACAAACTAGAAAATTAAAAGATTAATATCACCACATTAATCAAGACTTGAGTCCAAAAATATTAGTAGTGACATATGAACCAGTTGGATAATATGAAAAATTATCATTATATTGCTAATACTAATAGTCATCAGTAGGATATGCTAACTGCAAGGCAAGATGCAATTCTTCTCTAAGGAATTAAATTTGAAATGCAATTCATAGATGGGTAAGTATATCTATATTTAGATAAAAATGTGTTTAATTGATAATATACTAGGAGACTTTCAAGTTGTTCATATGAATATCAATATACTACCTGGATCTTCCTGACTATTTTTTCTTCACAAGTCTTAAAACTATAAAATCTTCCTTTTCACTTCTTTTTCATTTCTATAAAGATTTAGTAGAAGTTTTCCCAGACTATTATTATAAAGAAAATTTAAAAAATAGGTTAGATATTTATTTAGAAACATCTCAGTTACTATTTCTGTATAGCACATAACTGTTTCTTTTATTTTTCTTTCAATAACACTAGTACACTCAATGGAATACTAATTTCTTTTATTAAAAAGAGAGTAATAAGCCTTAATATAGCTTTAGATTATCGAATTCTTTATTTACCCTTGAATATATATATCTATATATATATTTTGTGCTATTATATAAATGCAATTTGAAAATTAATAAAGATTAGACAAAAACCCATTAATAAAAAAAAATAAAATAAAAATATAATTTAAATATATAATTATTTTTTAAAATAAAGCTTTTTTTTTTTTTTTTTTTTAAACACTTAACTTGCCTATTTTATTGATTATATGCAATACATTTATATTTATTTACAGAGTGATTGTGTAAACTATTTTTAATATTAAGCAAAACAATAAAACCAATTGGCGGTGGGGCTTGATTTTAAAACCCCTTGTGGCTTATTGTACCTGATTAAAGGGACTAATGTGCCTAGGCTCCATCAGTGTGTTTAGTAAGGATGTCAAGGATGTTTAGAGTGCCTGTTTTAAAATAAAGCTTTTGATTTCAAATTTAATAATTTCTTTTATCTTTTTTGGGGAAGTGCTTGTAGCCAGACTAGATTGTCAATTTATTAATCAATTGAAAATATACATAAGTATATTTTCATTTAAACAGTATAATATATATTACAGTCAAACTATTATTCTAATCTAACTAATTTGTTGTAAGTATAAAAGTCTTTAAGTTCAGCCTTGGGGATAATATTTTACTTTATAGTGTTTTTGGCTAAAAACCTTTCTGGTTTGCTATATTATTGCCACCAGGTTGTTACCATTGTATATCTAATCAAGCCACTAGAATATAGGAAAGTACAAAAGAATGGATTGAAAAAAGAAAAAAAAAATATCTGAAAATATCTAAATAGACAACAAAAAAATAAAAAAATAAAAATTAAAAAAAAAAATTTTCAATTTCTTTCAAAGACTTACTTCTCAAGACCTTTTCTTAATAAGAAATATTCAATTAGGATATTTTTTCTTTTCTTAACTATTTGAAGAACTTATCTATTCTTGATCTGATTTTCTTCTCATATACCATTTAAGTAGACTTATTGTTTAGTGTGGACCTCCAGGACACACTTGGTTCTAACCTTCTTTGAACAGTGATTTTTTATCCACCTACAGTAGAGAAGGGACTTATAATGGATCCTAGGTTCTTATGTGACCTAATAGGAACTGGATCATATTGTTTCAATAAAATACTTTCCAGTAATCATGTCTAGTTAAAGAAATCTTACCGGTATACATCTTCTATTATTCAAAAGGCCAGATTATTCAATAATTATTTTATTTTATAATAATAGAAAGGTTTTGAAAGTGATGAGATTCTAATTAATTGCAATATCCTTCAACAACTTTTGAAGAAATACATTTTCAAATATAATAAAGAGTTAAAGTTTAATATGGACTAGAAACTGTTTAATCTTATTACTTGACCGGGATAAAAAGGAGATCTTGGTTTTGAATTTTGTCTAACTGGAATAATAGAAGAGAAAGATCTTAACTTGAAAAAATAGTAGCTTTTTTACCATTTGAGAACTTGTTATTTGTATCTTATTGGTCTTATGGAACTTGATCTATAGGTTAATCCAATTGGAGAAGTGGTGTGGACACAAGGCATCAATTAACTCTTTCAATTATTGATGACATTATTGGAACATGTGTAGTGATCAGTGGGAACTTGTTTACATTTAACTACTAACATGTTTTATATTCATCAATTATATTTTGCAATAGATTGTGTCACCTATAATTTAGAATCAAAGTGAGGTAGGCAAAATTTTCCAAAAAACCAAAAAAAATTTTGAATGACTATAAGAGAAAAAAAACAATAGGAGACATTTTGAAATATAGCTTAATGTTTGCTACCTTTCACTACAGATAGATAATCTTTATAAATATATTTTAATATGAAAGGTTTTAAGTACTACACTATTAATTCTTCTTTTTTATAAAACTTTCTTGCCATAGATATAGAAGATGTTTTTTGACTTTTTTAGGTTATAGAAAGTCAAGTTTTTGTTTGAAGATAAATATAAACAAAAAAAGGATTTAGGAGTATCACTTGAAGTAAAATTTCAAGTTGGTTTAGGGATAGTGATAAGACTTTATTAGCAAAGAAATAAAAAATTTCTTGTAAATATCTTTTTTGTGTGTGGATATAAAATTAGTGAAAAGAGTTTCTTGAAATTTTTTAATAATTTCTTTTATTAAAAAAAATTACAGTACATATATTTATATTAAAATATTAAATTTACATATTTATATTTAAATTTTTATTGTATAAATATCAAATTATAGTTTCTTATATAATAAGTTTTCACATTTATTAAAAATAATTATTTTACAATAATGAAATATTATATAATATAAAAATTTTGATATATGAAACCTTCGCCAAATATATAATATTTGAATAAAAATTTTTAATTACTTAAATTTTGAATAAATTAAATCTTATTATAATCATGTCAATAAAATATAAAGTATATAAAGTAATCTAAATAATATATATATTAGAATAGTAATTGAAATAATAAAAAATATTTATAATAATTTAATAAAAATTTATTATTGCATAATTTTTTTAATTTAATTTTTTGAATAAAAATATAAAAATAAAATTATTATTTAAATTCAGTATAAATTAAAGGTTTCAAAAAATTATTTAATAAAAAAAAATAAGAGCTATTATTTTAATTAAAAAAGAATATATTATTACTAAAAAAATTATAAAAAACAAATATAAAGTAATTGTAAACATACAGTATATAAGTCTTTTTAAAAAAATAGGTATTAATATTAATAGAATTTAAAAAATTCTTAAAAAAATAGATTAAAGATATATACAAGATACTAAAAATCTTTATTAGTAGAAAATATAAAAAAAGTTAATTATATTTTATAAAAGAATATAAAAATTAAATTATAAAAAACTGAAGTAATTTAGTTAGATAAAAGTAAATTTTAACTATTTGAAGCTATAGAATAAAAAAATATTGTTGAAAAAAATCTATAGAACCTTTAAAGTCTTAATATATTATTCTTACAATTAATTGACAAAGTTCTCAAAAAGTAATTAGCCTGTAATATTAAAATAATAGTAGTAACATTGAGACTTCAACATTTCATAAAAATTCTAGAAATGTTTTATTGGTGAGTATTTCTTGTAATTATAAGATAAATCTCTACTTGAAAATTCAATAAAACATAGTTAAGTTACTGTTTCAAAAAAATTTTTACAATTAAATTTAATAAGGATAGTATTAATATTTAATGGTAATTGAAAATCAATGATCGGGTGATGTGTTCTTTTCGGGAGTCGTTGTAAAGGCATAAAAAAGACATAACAAAACATTCGGATGGCGTCCCAGAATTAAGCACTTTTGTTTTTATGAAACTGATCATCCTCTGTAAAACTCGAGACCACGTCTGTAGAAAATTTACGAATCCGATTAATTCCAACTACACCTATAGCATTAAAAAGATCATAAATCTTTCTAGCCCTTTTCATTTTATCCTTTATTACGCCTATTGAAATACCAGGTGAGAAATAGGTGAAATGTCTATGAACCTCGTCATTAACTCTTTTCGCACTCTCTTCTGTCCATTGTCTATTAATTCATTGAGACGAATGGTTAGTGCCAAACCAAATTCATAGTACCAATAGATGGTCTCAGAATCGACCTTGCCAATTTTCCGACATAAATTGCGTAGAAACTCAAAGGGACGATAATTCAGGAGAGTATTTCCGACGAATTTTTATCAACTTCCATTATTTCAGTTGTCACCTCACGTATAAAAGCCAATAACTCTCCTTCTCTACGCATATCTTTAAGCCGTTCGGCTGTTCTATATTGTGGTTTAGACACTCTGGACATTGTTCAGAACGAACTGAAGTTGCACGACAACATTTAATGTGAAAAGAATGACCACATCGAAACATTGCATGTGAGACTATAATTTCTTGTTTGCAAATCAAACAAGGTTCGGACCTCTGGGGGTTCAGAGAAAAGATGAGGAGCCACCTTATGGCCCAAACTTAATAGAAGTGATGCGATTGATTCCTGGGATACCATTAAGGCGGAAAAAAGAGTGTGTTAGTTTATTTATAATTTCATGATAGGGGTTGAATTGATAAGCCGGGATAGAAATAAGATAACATACAGTATGATAATCGTAAAGACTCTTCTCACTTCCAATCAATGAAGACAAGGTATATTTAATAGACTTTGCTCATCACGGCAAAGTCGTGTACGTACTCCACGCATTGTATGATCCAAATGATACAAAATGCAAAGCAAATAATATTACGGCAAAGTCTTGCGCTCTGCGCATTAATATGCGGTAATTAAATAATCTGAATTTTTATACGTTTTCTTCTACTTAAATCGTAATAATAAACAGCATCATCGTCGTCAGAAAAACATTGCACTCATATCATCATTTTCTTCCTCTCACTATCTTCAGATGGATCCGGGTTGAAATCTGAATAATCAGAGATGCTTTTTGCATGGCGGGATACGAAGTATTTGTAGATATATAGGTTTAGTTCTTTGAGTTCTTATACACAGGCTTACATGAGAAATACCTGTAGCATTTCATCATAAATCTACCCATCTCCTTGGTTTTAGGGTAAAATATCATCAAGTTCTTTTTTCAAATACGGTACAATATCGTAATTTCTTCCACTTTGGCTCGTTCAGTATTATTTCTGCCAAGCTTATTTATTCAAATAGATAGATTAATTCGATTGTAAGTGATTGATGTCCGTAGAAGTTCTATCTACATTAACAATTTTAATATTAATGTATCTTCCGCTAAAGGTTCTATTTTTAATTCTCCCATCAAAGGTCGCCTATTTCAGGGATTCTTGTTTTCTGTATGTCTATTTTGTTCTGAGAATCGTTCAGATAAATCAGGAGTAGTAAGAATAGATTCGATTCCGAAATTTGTTTGACATGCGATGCATAAGATTTTGACGAGCTATCCAAGGATTAGTTTTGGGCTTGAAGCTTCTTTTCTCGATTCCTTTCTCATATTTCATTACAAATCCGTTCATCGTGTTTTTCTCCCAGAAAATTATCCATCTCTTTATCCTCGGATAATTTAAGCTTTACGCATATTGGCGATACAGTGAAAGATGAGTTGGAAACTCGGAATTTCGTATCTTTCTGAAGCACATCAGACTTTGATGTAAGCCCGTAAATTAATACTGAAGTGTCGTTATACGTATATGTCAGATGCTGAAGCATTATCATTTTGTGAAACGATCATTTCAGAAGAATCATTGCAGGAGGTAGATGTAAAGTGGTTAGATTTTGCAATTTCTGTTGGTGCGGTATTAATCTATCCTAAACATATGAATAATAGCCTTTTCATATTTTTTCTGCTCTAGATTTGCCAACATAGCTTCATAATCTTGTAAAGTTTGTTCTAATTCCACAATTCTAGCTTTTAAACCTGCTTCCTTAGCCAATAATTCGGCCTTTTCTCTTTTTGTTCCTCGACCTCAGCGAAAAGTTTGGAATTCTGTTCTTTTAGTGTATCAACTTTGGATTGCGTGTTTTCCATTTTTATACAAGATGCAGATATGGTCAAAAGTTTGAATAGATACAAGTTTCCTCATTTCTGTTTCGTTAGATCGACAGCAACTCAAATTTATGCGAAAGAATTGAGAACCAGGAAATGCTTATAACCTGGATGTACTACACGTACGGTTTTTAATGTTGACTCAGACAAGGGTAAATTCGGTGCTAAGCACAAACAACCGGAAATGATTGATATTAAAACCAAACTCTGTAAGTACACAGGATGTCAGAAAAAGGTGCTCTTTGCTTAGGATTTCAAAATATCAATTTATCATTTATGATAGTAAATTTTAACATTAATGGACTGGATTTAAGATGTAAATCTGAAGCTATGATGGTAACTAAACATAATTAAAAATTAAAAATAAATTTCAAGAATATCGGTTTCTACTCGACATAACCTCGATAGTATACATTTTCACTATGACAATGTTTAGAACTTGAGTCGTCTACACCTTGGCAACTCCAATAGATTGCAATCCAAATATGAAACCCAGTTCCTTTTGGAGGCGTCGGAAAATAAGCCGGCTGATAGAAATTGAATTGCAGAGGTATATTCTTGCAGTCTCCACGACGACAACCATTAACCCATACAGGATCTTTCCAAAATTCCACTGAATCGTTATCATCATTATCAATTTTCATGCTAAAATGACCAATTGCACTAACTAACTCCCAAGCCGTCACCAGCATCAGGAGATTGAACCGTAATATTAAGTACAGAAATTGGTATCAAATTGGCATATGTAACCTGAGCACCACATTCTGAAAAAAAAAAGATTGACTTTTTTTACCAGAAGAATTATTGTCGTTGTGAATTAGAAAATTAACTTACTATAATTTGAATTATTATCACAGCCGTAACCAGCAGGATGACAACCGTGAGCTCTTTCAATATACGTAATGAAAAAAAGTACAAGTAAAATGATAGAGTATTTTTTATTCATGACGAATTATGATTTAATAATTATGCTCAAGTGGTTGTATTTATATTTCTTCTCAAAAAAAAAAAATCTTTTCTTAAAAAGTAACAACACATCATAAATAAATTCGTTACGATTACATGACCTTTTTTTTTTTTTTGTATTTCTCACATGAAGTAATCTTTACTATTTATTGATTTTATAATTGCATCTATCTAATACAGTAAGTTTTATGCTTTGTGAAAAATAACCCAAATTAGCATTAAGTCCGAAACGGTATAAAGAGAATGGGAAATATTTATGAAAATTAGGTTACACTAAAAATATCTGCGCCTGATATGCGCTAATTAAATGATCCGAATTTTTATGTTTTCTTCCCACTACTTAAATAATAATAATAATCAGAATCTTCATCATCGTCAAAAAATGCTCCGCTGAAATTATAATTGCTTCGCAAATCCGCTTCCACGGCCTCGTCATCTTCACCTCATTATCAGAGAAATTTTCGTTACCGTCATTTTTTTCTAAGTCAGAATCTAAGAAATCACCGGGTACATCTACCGCTTCCTTGGTTAAAGATTCGTCTTTCTCAATTATATCATCCGAATTGCACGAGGTAGACACAGAATGACTAGAGGTGTGAAATGATAGGGTAGAAATTGCAGTTAATCACTTACTTCAGGTAAGATATTTCCAGGACCACCGGTCTCGGAAATTCCAATGCTCTTAGGTGTGAATGTTTTGAAAAGAATAATTTATAATCTCTTGAATTTGATCATTAATAAGCTTTGAAATGGAATTCGCACTATGTGATTTGATTTATTTGATTTTATCTAAGCCTATCTTTTCGAATAATGTATAAATTTTCTCAGCTCTCTGAGTTTTTTTTTTTTGCGCATGGCATCCTGCGATATTTCTGGAAGATGTAAACCAAAATTGTTGAGATCTTTTCAAACGGTTAATGGAAAGCTGTTTTATATTGGAATCATAAAGTAAGCTCCTCGCCCTCTTTTCACCAGTTTTGCCTCCGTTATTTTTTATAATCTCATTGAACCGCACCTTGAAATCCTTTCCATAGATAGACAAGGTAAGAGTTCTTCTTGGTTAGCTCTATTTGCACCATCCTCAGCATCAAAAGCTTTATCACATAAATGTTCGTCAATGTTAGATTTTCCGGGACCGCTGGTCTCAGAAATTTCAATCAGACAGTTTTGAATTATTTTCGGTTCTTGTAGAGACGACTCTGAAGTAAATAGTTCTTGGATCAACCCCTGCCCACCTTTTACGCTCAAAGAATATTTAGTATCCTGGGAAGTTATAATTTTCTCTTGATCTCGAAGCCGCTTCTTAATATTTTGAATTAACTTTTTACTAACCGTTTCTCTATTCTTCGAATCCGGGAAATCATTTTCTTCTTTCTCTTCCAGGCGACGAAAATCGTTTTGCGAAGCAGATAATATGGTTTCGGCAAAAGATGTATATATCCAAATTAGATGCCAGACTCCTATTATGTGAGATTATCTGTTCATGAGTATCGTTAGAATTTAAAGTGTTATCAGTTATATCAGATACCGGGGTATCACCACATTGTGGCACTATCTGTTTGGGAGTATCGTTAGAATTTACCAGAGATTGTGAAACATCCGTATAAATACAGTATATAAATACCTTTTTCTTTTTCTCCCTGTTCTAATATAGCGAGTCTGTTCTCAAGCCCTATATTCTTTTGCTCTAGTTCCTCACCTCTATCATCATGCTTTATATTCTTTTCTATAACCTGCCTTAGTTTCACGTTCTCAGCTTCAACCTCACTATACTTATTTATAAGTTCGGCGATCTCGGCTACAAGCTTGGAGTTTAGTTCTTCAAGTAAATCAATATTAGATTGTTTATTTGTCATTTTTTAAATAAAATGCTGATATATTAAAAGCGAATTTATAAAAAATTATAGTGTGATGCACCGCACACAAATTAATTATCGAAAAAAGGAATGACCATTTAGGTTTGTTGTTTAATTTATACAATATAAAATACATATGAAGTGGGAAACTTTCTATTTATCATTTCGGTAATTTTTTTTAATTCGGGCCCTTTTACTAGCTGGAGAGCCAGCCATCAACAGCTATCCGATCTTTTAATGAACCAACAATAACGCCCAAAACTCGCTTCACACCTTTTCGGATAGAGTCAAGATCCTCCTTAAGAGCTGTTTCTGATAAATTAATTTGATATTTACTTTTGCCATTGCAATAAAGACCGTCAGTAGCAAAAGCGATGAAATGCCATTCTGATGTTAAAAAATAAATTTTTAAATCATCTGTAATGTAGTCAAGAATTCTATCGCGGAAATGGTGAGATATACTGTAAATACCGGTAGATACTATCACGTAAAGATAAGATAGTCATAATAATCATCTCGAGACGCCAGATCCGCCATACGTTTCTTTTGTTTGTATGATGTGCACTCTCTAGTTGCATGATATTCTGAAGATAGCCGAATTCAATGTTACGATGCTTTCCGACATGTTTCCTTTGATGGCATAGTCGACACGTCCAGATGCCTCCTCACCGCAAACTGCTTTTTGATGTGGTATGTAGATATTTTTTTTTTTTTTTGTTGGTAATTCGTCGGACGATAGACAGGTGCATTTTAGTATTGATGTAATGAATAGCATCGCGTGGCTCGTTTCCAGATTCGTGAGCCTTAATATTATTTCATTCATGCACTGCTCGAGTGCCTTATCGTTGTCATCGATTTCCTCAAAAACTATACAAAAAAAAAATAAATTTGTTGTATATCTAGATTTTTCGTCGTCTTGTCATAAAAAAAAAAAAAAAAAAAAAAAAAAAAAAAATTACATACCCAGATTGAATTGTTTGATGCATGTAATATCTTCATCATTGACTTTATACTTACAGAGAACATCTTTTAGCTCGTCTAATGTTATATGACGAGATGCCTCGTATCTTCTGTTCTTTAAGATCCTCAACAAATTTTGCGAGTGATTTTGCTGGCCTCAATGCAAACCCTATACTACGAAGGTCATATCCAGAAAAGAGAAACCGGAAATTCTCTCACTGCGAAATATTTTGAAATCTGCTACGACAAGAACTAAATCTTCCTGCCTCCGTAAATAGTCGATGAGTTCTTCCGTCTTACATTTCTTGACATCAGCCATCGTGCGAATTGACCTTTCTTCTAATATTGTCGTGGAATCAGATACAGGTGAGGAAGGTGAAGAAGCATGTGAAGACATTTTTTGTAACGGTATACGGCGTAAAAAATTTGGTTTATGCGATGCGATTATGTGCGTTTATGTATCTGAACTAGTAAAGATAGATAACGCGGAGATTCGAAACCCCATAGGTAGTAATTTCTGATGATAATATCAATTGAAATATACTGTATAGCCTATTTGACCTTATTACCTTTCGTGTATTCTTATATACTGTATATGATGTAAGGCGAATTATCTACGTTACACGGTTACGCGAACTTCTATGCTGATATAAGTTCATAGGGTTTTAATTATTTATTAAACTATTTAACTCATGGTTTACCTAAATCCTCAAGCTTCCTAGATAATATAGCAAACTGCATTCAGGTTAATGATTCTTTGCACTAGTCAAAAAATATTTATTTATTTGGGCATAATGTCACTTGTGTAAAATTAATCAAAAAAAAATAAATAATTTAACAAAATAATAATATAAATAAATCAACATCGATTTTTTGCTATATAATTTGTTATTTATATTATAAAATAAATATAAATAAATCATCAATATATGTTAAGAATTTTTTTAAGAAACTCTTTTCGCTAATCCTCTGATCACACACAAAAAAGATGTTCACAAGAAGTTTTATACTTCTTTGCTAATAAAGTCTTTACAATTTCATTAAAATAACTTGAAGCTTGTCTTCATGTATCTCTTTTATCTTTCCTTACTTGTTTATAAATTCCTTTGAATAAAAACTTGAGCCTCTAGTGGCCTGAAAAGACTTAAGTATGTACTTCCTCTACTAAGGGCAAGAAGGTTCTAGGAAGTAAAAGA